TCTTCGAAGTATTTTTTCCTGCTATTTATTTGATGAATAGACAAATTCATGGAAAAAATCATGACTATACTTAACAATAAAACGCTCTGAAAAGCCCACATACGACGAAGACTTTTTGTTGCCGTCGGAAAAAGAAGAAGTCCCAATCCTATTAACATAGGAACTGGAAGTGGAAGGAAAGGTATTATCCACGCATATTGATATGTCTGTTCCATAAAAAAAAAATTATTCTTAATTAATTGTTTCCGATTCACCGGATCTTACCTCTTTYGAAAAAAGTCAATAAAAAATCAAGATATGCACTAACTTATTTAATAATTTGATATTTTTGTTATCCAAAGAAATATTCTTTTTTTTAATTAAAAATAAAAAAGGAGTCGACCGTTCAAGTATTCGAAATTGCATCGGGGGGAAGAATCCGCCCGAATCGGATTTTTTGAGGAACGTATCGAGAGAGAATTTGATTTGGTTAGACAATGTGTGGTTGGTAAACAAGGATCGGTTTTTTCGCAAGGTACGGAATGTATCGTCAAATATTCAATATGATTCCACAAGATCTAGTTTCGTTCAATTAAGGGATTCTAGCCAATTAAAAGGATCTTCTGATCAATCCAGAGATCATTTTGATTCCATTAGTAATGAGGATTCGGAATATCACACATTCCAAAGGTGCCTAGAGGACGGGCCAGACRCAGCAGAGCGACGACCCGGGAGCGGATTCCCCACCGGCGGGGGGGGGCAGGAGACGGCCATCTCAAGGCACATCACGACCTACAGGCAACACCGACAAGACCTGGGAAGGCAACCCGATTGGGAGTCAGAGGATCCATAGTACCTGCAGCCTTCGGATATTGACCTACCGGCAACTTCRAACTCTCACTCTCCTTCAGCCGATTCAGATACCGAATCGTATCTCTTGGAGAGAGGCGCAGAAGCTCTCCCTTTGACTCAGGGGGCCTTCCACCACTTCGACTGATGCGGACGCGGTTCTCTCGTCGTGAAAGAAGTAATTAAAGGTAAGCCCCGGGTCAACCCGCGCTCGTTGTTGCCTGTATAGCTTTCTAGAGTAGAGATCTAGCAACGCATTCTAAGCACACCCCTACCTCCTTTATCACTGAGCGGTCATTTAGGGGCCTTAACTGGTGATCCGGGCTGTTTCCCTCTCGACGATGAAGCTTATCCCCCATCGTCTCACTGGCCGACCTTGACCCCTGTTATTTTGAGGTCATATCTAGTATTCAGAGTTTGCCTCGATTTATTCAAGATAATTACGTATTTACAAAATACCGTTTTCAATTACGAAATCCAATTAGACATTGCATTAGTTTACGATATGCAAGCATGATAACTTATATGTTGTTCTATATCTCCATTATTGCTGAATAGAGCACCTACTCTGCATAGATTAGGCATACAGGCATTCCTACCCATTTTAATGGCTGGGGAGAGCAAAGGTTCCTTTTTTTGAAGGTACTCCCGGGAACAGATCCAGTGGAGACGGAGTGGGGCCTGTAGCTCAGAGGATTAGAGCACGTGGCTCTAATAACGTAGGTCGTCCTCCTCTATGTGTCTACAACTTAGGATTCTGTTGGAGCCGTGCTTGCACTGCATGATGATGATAAGAAGAAGAGAGCTTTGGTACTTTGTTTATAGCTTTTTTAGGTTATGCAATAGAAGGGGGCTTGCGCTTGAATTGAAGTAGCRYCTTTGGAATATGAGTAGGGCTCCTAGGTGGCGCGTTCGTGGGGGCAACCCGAAGGAAGAGCAAAAAGAAGGTTGGGTGCTTGTGGGGCAAGGCCACCCGGCCTCGAATAGGAGGGGGCTTAGCTCTGGATCCTCCCTGCTTGCGGAAATGAATGGATCAGAAGGGGGCTGGATTCTCTATTTCCGGGCCGGGCGGGGGGTGAAGGCCATAAGAGAAGATTGCCCCCCGGTAAGGAAGAGGGGAAAAAGGCGCTGTCATCTATCTCGACCAGTTCCCCGAGGCGTTGGAAATCCAGACCGGCTCAGAGAATCACTGGTGCTATTTAGCCCTTCGTTTCGACAACAAAGAAGTCATCTTTGACGATTTCCCATTCCTTCCCTGCCGAGCCGCCTCTCTTCGCCATTCGATGCCTCTGCCTTCCCTTTCTATAACATAGCCAAGCGCCCTCCTTTACAATCACTAAGAAAAAAAAATACCAATCAAAGCCCTATCGTATCAGTACGTCTCTGTGATTTTTCCGGCCCCAGGGGACTTTACTCGACCCATTCCCCAGTCTCCCGCACTGCTCAAGTAAGTGTGCGACTCCGTATGAGGACCTCCTTCCCTTCTGCCCACTCTCYGTTCACACGGTTCTCAAAGCAGAGGAGGAAGGGTGGGCAGCAGGTACCACGAGCCCTCTGTCCCACACATCTATCCAGAAGCAAGTGTGATATTTTTTGTATTTTGAAAGGAGTAATTTTGTTTGTTGCAACTTTATAACACCCCCTTCAATGTTATCCCTAATGCAGTCAGGTATTCGTATGTTGTTCTTTTAAGAGTTCGCCGCCATGGAGCTAGCCAAGCTAAGATCAAATATAGCCATACCTTAGATTCATCAAACTATAAAACCATGTACATTAAAATTCAACATAAATTTAATAGATTGTACAAGACCGTGGACACATTTGCAGACATACTCCCCTATTGAATCAACCAAGGTATTTTGGTTGATTCCTTTTGATTACTCTTTTTGTATGTAATTAGTTTACTTATCTCATGATAACTGAGAATTCAGTTGATCTAATTAACTCATATTAGTTTTGGTTTTGGAAGTACTCCCCTTAGCCTGATGTGGTAGATGAAAATAAAAACAGTTCTTCTTTTGGAAAATTTGAATATTGGAATCCCGTTGCTTTTGTTTATAGACATCCCATGAAGATTGTGAAGTCCTTAAGCAATATCCATGGCAATCTTCAACCATGTGTCCAAATTGTGAGTGTCTTTTGTTTAGCCTTCCAAGCCATTTTATGAGAGAAATCATCATATATTCGAAAACAAGGTATAACAGAATATTAATGCTTGCTAAAGCCATATCTCGTCTTTTATGCCTTCCTTTTTTTCCTCCTATAATCTATATATTTAGAAATGACATAAAAACTATAAAAGAGTGCAATTCGAACTTTTAACGGGGAAACTTGAAGTTCTCTTTCCATCTTTCAGTTTCAACAATGTTGGTACATATAATTTAACTTGGTTTCAGGGGACAAGAATAAGGCTACAGAAATGGAAAGATTCAACTTGGGTTTGTACAAAATGTGTATTATTATCACAATTCACATCATTATGCTATGCCTTCTTCTACAAAATGTGTATGTAATTTATTTAACTTTGATTTTAACATTAATTTCGTATAAACATAATTTGATTTACATTTTTCACATTAGTTTTGTGTTGTTGATCTACAATGAAATGTTATATCCCGCTGCATTGTACGAATCCACAACTTATATAGAATAACCCACCAAATTATATGTTATGAAAACTAATTAATGTAAGTAGAAAACCACACGAGGTCCTATACTTATGAAAACTAATGTATGATGCGCATGCATAACTTAGTGGGTTTTTTTGGTAATTAGCAGAAAAGGTGAAGGGCAGAAGAGTAAATTGAGAAACGCAACTTCACTTATCAGTTTATGGTAGGAGTTCTTCCTGCATTGCTTTTCTGGACAACCAACGTTTTGTACATCAAATATGGCAATTGTCCTTGTCCCAGCCAGCTCTCTCTCTCTCTCTCTCTCTCTCTCTCTCTCTCTCTCTCTCTCTCTCTGACTTTGTATAGGGCGACACCATGATGAGACGATGGATGGGCAAACAAAAGAATAAGTAGGGTTTCCGTAATTTTTTTATCTCTCTCTCTCTCTCCGTCTTCAAGACTAAGAAAGAGTTCTTGAAACGTGTGCTCTCCCTTCTTCAAAGGTACTCACTCACCTTCATCTTTTTACCATTTACATCTTGTATCAGATTCATCTATCTTCATCTAAACACGCACACGTATACTTACAAACATGTATATATTTGTGTCTATATATATGTATAGAGAGAGAGAGAGAGAGAGTGTGTGTGTGTGTGTGTGTGTGTGTGTGTGATGGTATTGAAAAAGTAAAAGAAAAAAAAAGTAAAGAGTTATATATATATATATATATATATAACGAGGTATAAATCGTATGAAGTTGGTATTGATCAAATAAATTAAAAATCATAAATGGAGGAAGGGAAACTTGTTTCTTGGGTTGATGAGGTTAGTGTTCTTGTGGATGTTCTTGTTAAGTCCTTTTTGCTCATTTACATTAGTGTGTGTTATAATTCGTACGAGTTAGGGTTTCACATGTTTTGAAAAGTTTTTCTTTTGGTTTATTATTTCTTTTCTTTTATGCTTTTTGATTGCTACCATGATTCTGGGTATGAAATCCTTCAAGATCTACCACCTCCTAGAGTTTTTAGGTGTTAAATTCCAATAAAATTCCTTGAAAGAATATCATTATATACATACGTATGTGTATGTGTATGTGTATGTGTATGTGTATGTGTATGTATATACATACCTACATATACATATATATATATATAGTATATATATATGTGTGTATCTATATATATATATATATATTATATATAATATTGCTTCTTTTGTTTTAAAAAATGATCCAAGATTATATTTTTCAAATCCCAAATTGACATAGTATTTTTTAAAAAAAATTGTTTTCGGTATGTGATAACTGCAATTACATAGTTAAATTCATAAATCATATGATTTCTTAACAGAAAAGAGTTATAATTCTTGTCAAGGTTAGCATTAAAGACAATTCATTTCTTGCTTACTTAATTATACTAGATTAATTCAAATATAAAATCGTTTTTGGATGAAAGATCTTTTTTGAAGTTCAAGAATGCGATATTTTTGTCATGAAAGATCGATGTCGTAAAGGGTCGTACAGTAAATTGACGTTTGGTTTATGTGTAGACGCGAAGCAAGATCATGGGTAGAGGAAAGATTGAGATCAAAAGGATCGAAAACAACACAAATCGGCAGGTCACTTTCTGCAAGAGGAGAAACGGACTTTTGAAGAAGGCTTACGAGCTCTCGGTTCTTTGTGATGCTGAAATCACTCTAATCGTCTTCTCGAGCCGTGGAAGAGTCTACGAGTATGCCAATAACAAGTAAACATTCTCAATAACATTACCTTTCGGGTTTTCCTTTATATACAATAACCCATCCCTTAGAAAGTAAATGGCCTTAGTTATATTTTTAAATGAACGTAATTAACAAATCGTTATAAATGCAACAATAGATCAGAGGATTCTATATGAAGTTTCATGATATAGTTCGATCCATCGATAAATGATTAATGGATTAATCCATATATAAGAAAATTAATTGCTCTCATTTTCTTGACATGGTCTCAATGCACTTAGTATTCTTGAGTATGAACTTAATTGGATTCAACTATCTCTGGGATAAATACACTACAATAAAATTAAATTTATATTACCTTCAAAATGTTTAAGCATCCTAATAGATGAATAAAGTTTATGGTACAAAACTATAATGTCATATTTAAACGTGTCATAAACATGACGTTTTCAGAAATTTAACAAGTTTTTTAGGAACGTTTTAATAATAAAATGTTGTATTATTTATTTTGTAACACAATTCCGAGAAATGCCCTATCAGCCCATGTTTTATAAGATACTAGTGTTATAGGAGACATTTTCCAAATAATTGCATATAAAATAATTAAAATGACAAGTACCTAAAGGTATCCTATAAATCTATTGTATTACTTTTAAATATGACATATTTTTGTCTGGTCTTATAAACTAAAATATTATTTTGAAATCGATGGTTTTCAAGATTTGTACAAATAGTTTGTCTTGTATTTTATCCATCCCCATATATATATATATATATATATATATATATATAGAGAGAGAGAGAGAGAGAGAGAGTTTATTTCAAATACAACACATCGCATTTGTACAACTAATGCAACCCAATATATTGAGATATTTATGGAAATGATGAGAGTTCATTTATTATGATTTGAATATTTATGGAAAATTAATATGGTTCATTAATTATGATCGATACTTTATATTAGGAAACAATAAAAACTTCTATAAAATCACATATTAATCATTTGAAATGAGGATGGTTGAGATTGGGTTGTATTGGTTACACAAATGTCAAGAGTTGTATAATAACCAACCTCTCTATATATATATATACATTAATGAATTATAGTCATCTTTCATAAATATTCAAATCATAATAAATGAACTTTCATTATTTCCATAAATATTATCTCAATTAATTGAGTTGCATTGGTTTTACAAATGAACATGGTTGCATTTAAAATATATCTCATATATATATATATATATATATATATATATATATTGTTTAGGCATGCCAAAGAATCTGTAAATTTGTAACCTAAAAGAATATTAACAAAGCCAAATTATAGTACAAGAAAACGACGATGTTGTTTTTCCATGAGACAAATAAGCATTTTGGCATATAATTGAATATAAAAGTATAAAGTTATTTATATGTTATGCATGTGATATATATGATCACGGAATCAGGTTTAGAGGAAAAATCATAAAAATGAAAAACTGAGAAAACATTTCTAATAAACCTGCTCATTTGTACGATATGCATATGTGTATAAAGTAATTTTCTCTGGTATATACACTGCACGTGTATAAAATCTATGAATAAAAACTAGGAAACATTTTCAATTATTTTTGTATAGATGATTTTCTCTCAACCTGATCCAATGACCATGTTATATTTTTTTAAAGAAAATTACTTTATATCCTACTCCTAGTGGTTGGTTGTAAAATTACCATAATGTTGTATGAGGAGTGTATCTTTTAGAGAATCATGAGTTTGATGATTCTATTGCATACTTCAGAAACAGAATTGAAGTTGCAAACGGAGAGGGGTGTCGTAGAGGGTTCCTGCACTTTCTATTTCGGTGCAAGTAAACTCTGAGTAGCACCATGACTGAAACCACTAGCATTAGAATGGCTTTTGCTTTTTCACAAACATTGGATACACACAATCCATGCATGTATGGTATGCTCAAACTTTGTATTGGAAACATAAAAAGTAAATCATAATTTCTCAAGTCTTTGCCATTTCTGTCAATCGTCTTTGTTTTTCCAATTTTGGCAAGATATATAGAAGTTGTACACATCATATATATGCACCCTCTAAACACATAAATAAACATCTATTTCTAACTTACTGAAAATAAAAAGACTATACATATATATATATATATATATATATGTCTATGATTTGAGAACTACATAGTTTGTGGTAATTATGAGTTTCAATATGAATCAATCATTTTAGATAGTTAATGTTATTTACTAAAATAAAACAAAGAGTAATTAATAAATTGTTTTGATTATCTAATTTACTTTAATTAGTTTAATATTCCAATTCACTTTAATTTGTTTAATTATTTTAATATATATATATATACACACACACACGGACACATGAGGACCAAATCCGGTGGCCTTCTCCGGCACCCACCACCACTTCAGTGACCTCCTCCGGCCATCTTGTCTAACTAAGACGCCGTCTCCAATGATCGACCACTAAGCACCCACCTGTGAGCATTCCCAACACCTGGTATCACAGTGGTCTCAAAGTTTACTTGGTGTGTTTTGAGTATCACATTGTATGTATTTTGGGTATCACATTATGTATCTTGGTGTATTTTGGATATCACATGGTGTTTATCGGAGGACGGAGGTAGGGGAGAGAGAGAGAGAGAGAGAGAGGAGAGATAAAAAAAAATTAAAATACCTAAAATACCTTTTAATTATAATTTTTAAGTCAAAGTACCCAAACTATTAGTTTCCTAATTTATCAATTGATTTGTGTTTGAGATTGGACCTTACAATTATCACAAACTAATCAGTTCTCCCTTGAATGAACCCATATATATATATATATATATATATATATATATATATATGGTTGGATTCCGATTAGTAATGTCATTTTCATGAAAAGTGTGAGAAATATAAAATTCACATAATAAATTTTGAAGGTACCCTTATATCATGATATGAAAGTGATTGGATACATAGAAACAGGTAAAGGTAGACATTGGGTCTCGTCACCTTCACCATATTCACAAAATATAACGTGAAAAAATTCATAAAATAAGGATAACTTTCATCATTTCTTACATTTCTCACTAGAAATCTTTCTCCTCAAATATGCATTAAATATGCACTATGGGATGTTTACGTAAAAAACTGCAAATAATTTGAAAACCAAAAAACTAATTTTATAATCTTCTAGCCATTCATAATATGCACTATGGGTTAGGTTCTAATGAGAAAGGAAGTTATAGTGAGAAATGTAAGAATATATTTTCACTCATGGATCAATCATAATTGAATGTCAATACTAAGATGCACCAGATTAATTCCTATACAAAACACAATTAATGGGTGGACATGAAACTAAAGTGATTTAGGGTTCTTACTTCCTCGTAACATTCTCTCTATAACTTCCCTTTTCACACGATTCTTCATCTATACACTATATACATTTCATTAAAATATGTGTATCGTCAATTAATCTCTCAATGACTATTCATCATTGTGTATACATTAATAAATTAGTTACATGATTCTTAAAAACATTTGTAGTTTTCATTTGAATTGGATTCTATATGTATATATATATATATATATGCGTGTGTGTGCGCACACACACACATATAGGTGGAGGTTCAAACGAGAACACCTTCATTTTACGAAAATGCGAGAACATCCTTATCAAATGTGATAATACGTGTGAGGGGACCATGTGATGTGCTGACGACGTGTTCTACGACTTAGGTCGTGCCAAAGGTTGTCTGCTTCTATGATTTAGCATCACATATGATGGTCATGATGGATGAGAGTATCATATCAACAACAACCTTATCACATATGGTAATACTTGTGAGGAGGCTTAGTGGTGTAAGGTGACTTGACCCGCAACCAAGATCGCATTGAAAATCACTCGCGTCTCTGGTTTAGCATCACATGTGCATCGTATGTGATAGAATAATAGTATCACATGTGATTGTCTATAGTAAAATGGTGTTTTCGCGTTCTCGTAAAATGAAGGTGTTCTCGTTTGAACTCTTTCCTATATATACGTATATGTGTGTATGTATATACACTCAATACACAAGTGTTTTTATGTTAACGTTTCATGCATAATACTTCCTTTTGCATTTACATATCAAGGTGTCTGTTTAATACGAGGTGCAGCCAAGCCAAATAGCCAATGCTATTTTAAAAAAAGATTCACTTCTTTTAGGGTCTTTTTTGTGTATCAAGTTTTATATCTTTTTGTAATGTTCATATATCAATATATTTGTGTTTCTTCTTTTTTATATTGCATAATATCATTGAGTTACAATAAAAACATATAATTATATATATATATATATCATATATGTACATACTTGCTGTCTTAAACAATGTATAAGAAAACGTTGTGGTTCCTAAAACTTAAAACCTATATTTAGAACAGCCTCTTCTCTTTTGCATTAATAGACTTATTTTTTTATTACATAGATGTTAATAAACTCTTTTATGGTAGAACTGGAAGAAGACAAGATGCCATTGAACAAAAAATAAACACTGAACATTGATGAAAAGAGCCATAAATTGCAGACTTGAAACTTGATAAAAGAAGGGAGCTTAAAGACTCTTTATCTCTGGCAAAACCAATTACTTCCATGCGTGAATCCAGTTGTAGATCGATGCCACTGAAGTCCATTTAGCCATTCAAAGAAACCTCACTCAGCTCCGGCACATTTATATGGATGGATTGTGAGGTTGTGAATGCTACTTGGTTTAGTGGTAGTGATAGGGACTTACCAGAAAGGTAGAATGTTGTTTGATGATGACACCGCTGAGACTAGGGTGCGTATATGGTTTAGAGTCCAAATTAAACTACAAACCAAATAGCATATTCGGTATGCCATTTTTCGTAAACACAAACCAAATCGTATATGTTTCAAAACGTAAAATATCACACAATAAAAATATGATGTGCGTTTACGTGCTTTGGTACCAAAATATGATCGAATGAGAAGTGGACAATGGTAATACAAAGTTTCGTAATG